GGGCCTGTTGCAGTGATTCTCAAATGTCTTTGCCCAAGATGGAATTGCACCGCCCTTGTCAGGGGCCAGGCTAGGTAATCTGCTCAGTTTGCTCTCTGTAGCTTTTGTTCCCTGCAAGCTTTCCATACAGCTTTGGAGGACAAGAGTGAAAATGGTGGCCTCCCAATCTCCACCCCAGAGGAGCTGAGAATTCGGGGCCCCACTCCTCAGTGAGCCCCCAGAGAAAAGCAGTCAATCACTCCTTTCTCCCTGGGTTCAGGAAGCACTCCATGCTTACTCAGCCTGTGACCAAGCATTTCTATCTCTGGCACACAACCCTGTTCGGCCTCTCCAAACCCAGCAGATTCCTGGGGTGCAGTCCCGTGCCACTCCTCCCTGGGGAAGAAAGGGGAGTCTCCCCGGATCTGCCACTTGTTGGGTCCCTGCTCGAAGAGTAGTGTCCCGACTGTGCCCCGGATCACAGTTTATGGCAACACCGAGCTGAAAGCCCACTCCTCAGCTCCATCTATGCAGCCAGCTTCCCCGCTCCAATACCTGGGAGCTCTGCTGCACTCAGGCACCCCCAGTCTTTCTGTGACACTGAGGGTCCTGAGACCACACTGTCCCATCGAGGGTTCCACCCCCCGCTTAGCCACTGGAGTGATGTCCCTCAGCGGAGCAGACTTCTAAAAGTTCCGATTTTGTGCTCCACTGCTCTATCACTTGCCAGTAGCTGGCTGATGGAGGCTCCCTCCCCCCACAGTCTATCTTCCCAAATATCGCCTTGGATTCATTTCTCCACACGTCCTACCTTCCAGAAAGTGGTCGCTTTTCTGTTCAGAGAGTTGCTACTATTCTTTTCTTCAATTTCCTGTTGAGTTTGTAGGTGTTCAGAATGGTTTGATACCTATCTAGCTGAACTCCTGGGACCAGATGAAATTTAGGTCTCCTACTCATCCACCATCTTGCTCCTCCTCCAGAAGTAATTAACTTCTGCTACCTGGCTCGCACCTGCACCTGCAGGACGGACTGGGCAGGATGCTAGCACTCTTCTGGCCACACCTCCTCTACCTGCACTTGCTCGCTCACTTGCTTGCAAGCCCTCCTGAGGCTTGACGTGCCCACCCTCACTGTCTTCTCACCCATCCCAAGCCTTATGACCAATGTGGAGACACTTTGGGAAGTGGGGGAAGCAGGCAGCATGTTCATGCCTCCCTGCTCCAAGGAAGCAGAAAAGGTCTTTTTCAATAACATGGTCAACTGCCTATGGTTCCAGGTTCCTTCTAGTACATGCAGAGTCACAGGTTTCAGAACTAAAAAGTCTTTAGAGACCAAGAGCAGATTGTATCAGAGCTGGGATAATAGGCCAAGCCTCTCCCTTCCTGGGTCTCAGTTTACATATCTGTAAAATAAGGCCTTAAGACCAAATGATCTCTAGGGCCCTTTCCAGAGCTAGGATTCTGTGATATTTCTGATGGCCATATTCAGAACTTATTCTACTCTGTCTGTGCTTCCCTTCAGATGGAGTGATGAGACCTCTAGCCCAGCACCAGATAAAGCACCTATGACCTTGTTCTCCCACATCTTGGCACACCACACATCTCCACAACCATCCTTCATGTGTGCACCAGTCCCATGTAAGGAGAAAAACTTCTAACACAAAAGCTGAGGAAAGCTTTTCTCCATGATCAGGATAAGTCTGTGAACACTGACTAAGCATTATCTTACTGGACTTCAGAGAAATTTTATTTTCTATATCTTATGTGGACATAAGACCCCCAAGAGCTTCTCACCTATCTTCCTGATGTCACTAGACTGACAATAGCTTAGGATCCATCTACTTTCAGTTCAGGCTCTGACTCTTTCCTTCTCCCTGGTCATGCTCCAAATCAAGTCAGCGTGGCAAATACGCCACTGATACTTACTGAGAACTGTGAACTATGAGGTGTAAGGAGGCAGGGGTGATTCTGTACCTCTCTCTTCCCCTTGACCTGGCCTCAGAGTGAACTTCCCAAAACGCATTTATCCATCTCATCCCCCACCTCACTCATTATTCCCTTCTAAAGAGAGATCTGAGCTTTGATGTAAGCATTTTGTAAAGACTTCAGTAAGATGGTCTTTCTGTTGGAGGAGTAAATTTTTAGGGCTTGGGATAGGCTCTGAATCACAAATCACCTATTTCAATGGTCTCCTCTGGGGTTTCTTGAATGTCCTCCTCTCCTGCATCCAAGTCAATACGCTCCTCTTTGCTGTTGCGCAGGCTCCAACACAGGCGGTAGAGCTGTGGAGAAAGCAAAACAGGTTGGCAGAAAGATCCAAATAGTGTCTCATGCCAAGAAGTTGAGAGAAAAAAAGAGATGTGCATCACTTCCTGAAAGGTGTCAGTGGATGGCTAGTTAATGCTCTAGAACACAGTTTGGCCAGTGTTTGCTGAATGAAACTCATTAAAAACTAAAAACAACAACAACAAAAAAAGAGGTACTGTGGTCTCTCAGTACCAACAAAAACATAGATAACAGTTTCCAGCCACATTATCTCTAAATAAGTTGGGCACTTCAATGTAAATTATACACATGAATATACAAGCCCTTATTATAATATTCAAAGACTAAAAGACTGCCTTGAATAAAGAAATGTCTGTCTTGAATGAATGAACTCTTCTTATATATGATAACTAAATTGTTTCTTTCAGCACTATTGCTAAGAATGAAGACTAAATGCCTATTTGTTCAGACCAGCAGTATAAGAGCAGAGTTTTATACTATGTGTTTGTCACATTATAAGAAGATAATCTGTAGAATCATGAGCCATATTAGAATAGAGTACCACTGGAGACACAGTTTCTATGGACATGGAACCAGAAACTTGAAGAAGTCTGAAAGTCAATGAAATGTATTCATTCCAACTATGCCCTCTTTGGTGACTACCTTGCTTTCTCTACTTCAAGAGGAATCATTGAGCTAATGTGTTTGGGACTGCAGCACTTGCAAATGCTGAGACATCGGGAAGCAGTTAATACAACACGAAAAACCTATTGACAGATTCAGCCAAAAAACATAATGGTGGTTCTTCTGCTATAAAAGCAGTCTTTGTTTGACATTAAGATTAGTCACAGCTTTGAAAATTTGGCAATGAGGTTGAAGGTCTCTTAGGGATTCCATAAGTCCCTGTATTTGTGTGTGCATGGGTAAAAAGTTAACAAAACCCTTTCTCAGACAAACTATGGAAAGAGCCCAGATGTCCATCAATAGATGAAAGGATAAAGAAGATGTGGTCCATATACACAATGGAATATTACTCAGTCATCAAAACAATTGAAATCTTAACCATTTGCAACAACGTGGATGGAACTAGAGGGTATTATGCTAAGCGAAATAAGTCAGTCAGAGAAAGACAATTATCATATGATCTCACTGATATGTGGAATGTAAGAAACAAGGCAGAGGATCATAGGGGAAGAGAGAAAAAATGAAACAAGATGAAACCAGAGAGGGAGACAACCCATAAGAGACTCTTAATCTTAGGAAACAAACAGGGTTGCTGGAGGGGAGGGGGGTGGAGGGATGTAATGAGCACTGGGTATTATATCAGATTAAGGAATCCCAGACCTGTACCCCTGAAACAAATAATACATTATATGTTAATTAATTGAATTTTAAAAATTTTTTAAAAGACTAAAAGAAAAACCCTTTCTCTTTCTCTATGGACAAATATGATCTTGGGTTAACTCTAGCTCTGTTCCTTGAAAACCTAAAAAAGGTAAAATATTAGCTGTGTGGATTACCAGATTATACTGCTTATGGTAAAAATGGCCTATAATTGGAAATCTTCATCTGCATTGGGAGGGCTGTGAATAAATCCTAAACCAAGGGTGACATCTAGAGTTAAAGAAGAGTACTTGCCATTTTTGGACTCTTGAATCAATTTGACTTTGATATTGTTTGAAATTTCTCGAATTATATGGGTAATTGTTTAGAGGGTTAATTGGGGAAAAAATTAAGGGTATATCATACTTCAAATTTCCCTGAGTGTGGTGATTTTTGTAACTAAGTATGTTCCTTGCTGGGACCCCTGGAAGTTATGCCATGGGACTACTAGAAGAAATCTAAGTTTCTATATGAGACATGAGCATCTAAACCAGGCTAGCCCCTGTGCTCACCCATGTGATCTCATTCCCTTGCACCTGGGCTGTCACCTGGGGAGCAGGATCCAGAGACTAGCCCCTGGATTGAAATAGGAACTACTGTGAGGACTCCAGCTGAGGACACACACTTGATACCACCTTGCTGGCACACCGTGTTTTCTGGCTTGTGTCTTTCTATGTAAAACCAATGGCAAGCATGGACTGTTTTAGTCATGTGAGTGTGAGTTGTCTAATTGAGCAAAGGGCAACAAGATGGGTGTTGCAGCATGAGCATGAAACAAGGGCAGGACACATTCCCCAAAATGGATACTCACATGCACATCTGGAATTGGCTTGGTGAAGAGAGAGACAACCACGATGATGATGACAGAAATGACAAAGAGGATGATGGCAAAGTACAGGTAGTGCACACCACAGATAATTGTGGGACAGTTGCTGGGCTGCATGCAGCTCCCAGTTCCATAGGCAAATTCAGTCACCATACGGGACACCCCGATCAGAAATCCTAGGATCAGTCCCCAAAAGGCTCCCTGTGAAAGAAAACCCTGGGCTAATTAACACCAAACACACAAAACAGCTGGGCATTCCTGGGGGCAAAGGAATAAAAAGAGACAAATGATAGCTTCAGGCCTTCTGAAGCCAGAACGCTGGCGTTCAGAATATGGCTAAGAGCGTGATGTCAGGCCCAAGCCTTCAGAGGGTGTGTTTATCATGTTTCAGTGACATGATTTTACCTGGGTCATAAAACAAGATTCATAATATAATGGGGTAACAGTGTCTAACACCTGGTGTCAAGTATCAACCCAAAGTCTTAATTCCAAAAATTAATTTTTAATTTTAAAAATAATTTTAATCTCCTCCCTGTAGCTACTATCACCATCAGCCTCCAGATTTAGGCATATTCAGAGGTAATGTAATTACTTGTGAAGTAATTTGCTTTCCTTGAAGACACTGAAAAACAAATTGGGTCTTTTGGGGATGGAAGAGAAAGGCATGTTTCCATCAAAATATAAATACTACTTTCTTCTTTAGCCCCTTTTATAGATCTAAAGTCACTGTTTTTAATTTGAGAACATAAAATTATACTATGTGTCTTTACATTAAGTTTTGGGTTTGCATATTAGAAATATGGAAAGCCTTTAAGAGACTAAAAATACTGGGGTACAATTTTTCAGCGTTTTTTAATCCTCCCCTCCCTTCCTTCCTTCCTTCCTTCCTCCCTTCCTTTCTTCCCCTCCTTCCTTACTTCCTTCTTGCTTCCTTTTTGGTCAGTCCTCACCTAGAGAACCAGGTCTGAATCTAGAGGCCACATTTTAAAAGGACCAGTGAAAAAGTACAGTGAGCTCATAGAAAGGTGAAAAAAAGAGCCTTCCTGTCAAATGTTGATTGTTGAACTTTCCTAGCCATGGGTACCCCTGCACTTTATATCCCAGGTATGCTCCATTATCATGTCATGTGTATTTATGTCCTAGGTCTTTGTACAGGTCACTCTGTCTGAGAGAGCACAAGCTCTTCCCTTCCTGGTAACCTTTTCCTAGCTTAAATGTCCCTTCTCATCCTCCCAAAACAGAATTGAGTGGGCGCATCCTCCTCACTGTGACTGCACTGTAGACACACCTCCATGCCAGTACCAATCCCACTGCTATGGAATCACTCACTCACTTCTCTGTCTCCCCATCTGAACTGGGAATTTGCCCAGAGAAGAAACCAGGATTTATTCCCTTTGTGTTGCCAGTACCTAGCCCTATGTCTGGCATCTAGACTTATCTGCTAGATAGATAGAAGATGATAGATGATAGATTAGATAGATAGATAGATAGATAGATAGATAGATGATAGATAGATAGATAGATAGATAGAGAAAAAGATGTTCCTCATTCATTCCCCATACACTTATTCATTCAAAAAAAAATTTTTTTTACTTTAGTTTGTAGGAATAATATTGATAAAATCTGCTATAAAACTTTCCTTCTCTTTTGGTGTTTTGTGGGTTTTTTCTTTTTTTTTTTTTCTTTTTCTTTTTTTAAATTTAAATTCAATTAGCGGGACGCCTGGGTGGCTGTCAGCTAAGCATCTGCCTTTGGCTCAGGTCATGATTCAGGGGTCCTGGGATCAAGTCCCACATCAGGCTCCTTGCTCAGCAGGGAGCCTGCTTCTCCCTCTGCCTGCTCTGCCTGCCACTCTGCCTACTTGTGCTCCCTCTCTCTGATAAATAAATAAATAAAACCTATAAATAAATAAATAAATAAATTCAATTAATCAACACGTAGCCCTTCTCTTTTGGCAATTGGCCTCCTCTTCTTGTTCCTTTAATCTTATTCTCAAGAGGCTCTTGAAAAATCTGGGAAATTTTGACATTTTCCTCAAGCCTTAGAGTCACTCCTCATCAAACACCATCCCTGGCCAGTCCTGAGAATCACTCTGCAGTCTCTACGTGCTACTCTCCAGAGACTCTAGCAAGGGCTTCTCACCCTCAGCACTGTGACATTTGGGCTGGATAATTCTTTTGGGGATGGGTTTGTGGGGAGCTATCTTGTGCACTGAAGAATGTTTAGCCCCTGGCCTCCGCCCACTAGATCCTAGTAGCATTTTCTGAATCAAAGCAATCAAAAATGTTGCCAGACATTGCCAAAAGTCTCTTGGGGGAAGGGCAAAATCACTCCCAATTGAGAACCACTACACTCTATCCCAATTCTTAGCCTTATTTTTTGAATGCCACAGTCCTTTGTTGAATCTGTTTTTAAAGATTTTTTTTTTAATTTATTTATTTGACAGAGAGAGAGACAGCGAGAGAGAGGACACAAGCAGGGGGAGTGGGAGAGGGAGAAACAGGCTTCCCACTGAGCAGGGAGCCTGATGCGGGACTTGATCCCAGGACCCCAAGATCATGCCCTGAGCCGAAGGCAGATGCTTAACAACTGAGCCACCCAGGCACCCCGAACTGAATCTGTTTTTAGTCCACAGCAATACCCAGCTGGGCTTCTAGCCACACTTTACTAACTTTTATTTTAGAAATATCTCAGCTTCTGCTAATCTCTATTGAAATATATCCTAAGAGTGTGCCCATTTCTCTAACCTGTCATGATCACTTGCAGGTTTAATTCTGATCTCTCAAGGGGATTTATCTGTGCGTGCAGTTTTGTGTTACCAGCAAATCTGGACTATGTTCCTAATAGCAAATGTTGAATGAAGAGAAGCACACGTAATTTTGCACTTCAAAGCTGGGTCACTCCAGTGAGGTATTTCCCAAGCATATTTTTGTTTTTGTCCTACTGGGAGAAAGGGGTTATCTCTAGCCAAAAATATGTCATCATTTACACTGCTTCAGACAACAAGTTACATAGTCAGCACCCCCACTCCATCCCCGCCTTCCCTGGGTGTGCAGATGGTTTGATACAGAGCCAGGTGAGCAACACCCCAGTCAGAAGTCATATCCAAAGGCATCCTTTTCATGGTGGCTCAAAACCTGTAACAGCATCCCAATGAAAACCCAAACTCTTTAGCATGGTTTTCAAAGGAGCCATTCCTAATTTAACTTTAACCTGCCTTTCTAGCGTATCTTCCATTATCCATACACACAAACTCCCTCTTGAGCCAGGTGAGATGCCTTACAAGCCCCTCACCCTTACCCTTATCCTTGCACTTCTGCCTCCAAGTTCTGGTGCTGTTCTCTCTGCTTTGAATACCCTCTCTTCCCTCTCAGTTTCACCCTGTGCTATATAGCCTTTCCGTGAATCCCTTCTCATGTTCTGTGCCACTCAATTAGGATCTACTTTATGTTGTTTTGCATATAAACTGCTTGAGCCCTAGGACTTCATCCTTCACTGGGTCTTGAGAAGTGCTGGCCAGGAAGCCAAGCTCACTGCAGAACCACTAGAGGGATCCTGTGCTAGGACTTCCTCAGGAGCTGCTCGCCCAGGGGTTACAATCTTCCCGGCTAGTGCCATGTTATCAGGTCAAAATCACCCAGATTGGGTGGAAAATGTACATCATTAGTTGGGAATGAGTTTGGAACCTGTAGTAAGGAGGAGAGGGGGATCCAAAAGAATGTGAACCCAGAAGAGTCTCTGAAGGCTTTCCCATACAAATCTTCAGTGGCACATCGATTCCCGCTGGAGATCTCTGGGAAACAGAATCCCTCCCATGAAGACTATGCAGCTCCAGGTGGGAATTTCTGTGTCAGAGTGGCTTTTCAGGACATGCATAAACGATACCTACCGGCTCAGTGGCTCTCTTCCAGAAAATAGCAAGCAGGAAGACAGCTGCAATGGGTGGTCCCAAGTAACTGGTAATGGACTGGATGTAATCGAAGAGCTGCCCACTTTGTGCTGACTGCACAATGGGCACCCAGGCAATGCTGATGCCTATCAGCACCAGGATGAACAACCTGAAATCAAAGCCCCCCAGTACAGTGTCAATAAATGGCTCTATATGAATAAATATATATTACTATGTATCAGATGTGTTTGTGTGTGTGTATATATATAACTAGCAAATACATATGCACATAAATGTATATATTTATATGTGTGTGCATAATTTCATTTATTATATATTATAGATACATGTCGTATGTGTGTGTAATATGACCACAACAAGGAAAAATAATTAGCAAATTCATTCTTGAGGGTTTTTTTCCCTCTGTATTCTGCCTCTTTGAGAAAGTCATCTGTGCCCGTGAATAAGTGAAATGCACTTAACTAACCTAAACCAGTCACTGCCATAGAGAATCACACTTTGACAAGTAGCAGAGTGTAGGAACAAAGGTATGGATTTGGGAGCCAAGCAGTCCTGGATTCAAATCTTTCTTTTCTCTATGTGACATAGGACACCTTGCTTAACCTCTCTGAGTCTCAATTTCTCCATATGCAAATTGGGAATAATATGACTGACCTTGCAATTTTGGAATAAGGATCAGCTATAGCAAAACACCTAGCAAACAGTAGGTACTCAATAAATAGTAAAGGCCATAATATTATTTTCTTCTCCTCCTCCTCCTTCTCCTCCTCTTCACTTCATAAAGTGAAAACCACAGCCAAAAAGAGTTTATAAAGGAACAGTCTAGATAGAAAGGGACACTACCAAGTATGTCCAGCTCTCCTCTTGAATTTCACTTCAAGTTTTGAAGAGATTGGAGGGTTCCCTTACAAGCTCCTCTTACTTGTGCTCTTGATTTAATCAGAAAGAAGGCTATGATTCCCTTACCTCACTTACATGAATTTAAGGCAAAAGAGTCTTAAACTAACCTTTGCAAAGCAGTGTTTTCACTCATATATTTCTCTCTCTGGAATGCCCTTCCCACTGCCCCCCATTTACCCAAATCCTACCCACCATTTTGGCCTCAGCTCAGGCCTCCCTCTTCCAGGAGCTTCCCCAACTACTGCATGCCATGTTCACCTCTCCCTTCTTTGACTCCTTGATTGCTCTTACAGTCCCCATAGCAAAGTTTGGGATTGTCTCCTGTAAGCTCATCTAGGGCAGGGATAAGCTCCAGGGCAGCAGTCATGGGATGCAAAAAAGTGTGAGCCCCAACAATCTCAGAGCCAAGGGGGCCAGCCCTGAGCAAAGCAACAAAATGGTTCTCTTTTCATGTTGCATCTCGAGCCTTATAGATAACAGGGGGCTGGGAAACAGTAAAGTCCTTTCTAAGGAAAAGAAACAGTCAGGGTGATGGTGTTGCTTTCTGTGAAGCAAAGTAGTAGACTCGGGCCTGGTCAGATCTCCCCTGGGTGCCAGGTGGCTCATCACCTGACAATGGCCTGTCATTTTCCCTTTCCTTCCTTTGCCCTAATCTTATTGATGAGACCTATGAGGTGGCAGTCCATACCCCTCCTGCACTCACTGTGAAATTTCTCTTGACTGACATCACAGGGACTTGATCCCCCTGCTCTGAGGAAGTTGACCTGCCATAGCCCCACAAAGAGACATAGTAGAGCTTTAGTTAATCCTCTATCCAAAGCATCTGTTCTATGGATAGTCAAGATTATGAGCACCTCTGACCCATGTATCAACCCTTCCGGCTTTCAGTATCCTGTTGTGTCCATTATCCCATTTGGCAATAACAAATGTATGTATAGCATGTTGTTTTAGACTTTACAGAGCATGTTCCCAAGCACAGTATCACTTGACCCTCACAATGGTCATGCAAAATGTTGTAGCAAATGGTCAAGGCATCAGAGGCATCTGGGCCTTGAAGATGGCCCATGTGAAGAGCTACAGTGTCGAGGGCTGAGGAGGGCCACGTGGGGCAGTATAAAGGGCCTTGGACAAGGACTCACTTGGCCTGAGTTCCAGTCCTGGCTCTGCCACTGTCCAGACTACCTGGATTTAGGCAAGACGAGCCTCCTTTTGGGTGCCTGGGTGGCTCAGCTGGTTAAACATCTGCCTTCAGCTCAGGTCATGATCCCAGAGTCCAGGATTGAGCCCTGCATTGGGCTCCCTGCTTCGTGAGGAGCCTGCTTCTCCCTCTGTCTCCCTCTCTCTCTCTCTCATGAATAAATAAAGAAAATCTTAAAAAAAAAAAAAGACGAGCCTCCTTTTGCTTGTTGATAAACTGAGGGTTAGATTAGATGATTTCTGATGTCATGTCTTACTCCAGACAGGCATTGTTTGATGATCTTCAATTTAAAGTTAAATGCCACTGAAGTGCAAATATAACTAGCCACAGAGGTTACTCCCATTCTAACCAGGCATCTACCAGTCTTCTCTACCTTGAGGGTTAGCACATATCATTCAGGCTTTCATGATGGGTGGCAAGGAGAAGCTGCACTTACCTTCCTGTAATCATGAGCTCTTTCTCAGATGCTCCCTTCCGGACCTTGGTATAGATGTCCATGGTGAAGAGGGTGCTGGCGCTATTGAAAATGGAGGTTAAGGAGCTCATGAGAGAGGCCAACATGACTGACAGCATCAGGCCACGCAGCCCTGAAAGAGAAGGAGATTCTGAGTGGCACACACAGCAACTCAACTCTTTTGTACTTAGAAATTGTGAGAACTCAAGCTTTGTTTGCCTTCTGAAACCATGCCATGTTCTCCAACTTGTCTCTCCAAAGACTAGATATTATATTGTAAGCCCAAAGCAGTCAACAAAGAGATAAGGACAAAATATATACGAGGTAAATACTTTGCAATTGAATGATGATGATGATGATGATGATGATGATGATGATGATGACGGTGGTGATGGTGGTTAATGGTGATGGTGGTGATGGTGTGTGTGTGAGTCCATCTGAAAGGAGTTTTATAAGGTCTTTTACTTAAAAATTCATGGTATAGCAGAAAGATTGAAACTAGGATTCAAAAGATGAGGTTCTCAAGAAAGTAAAAAGTCCATAGAATGGAAGGAAATACTTGCAATTCATATATCTAATAAGGGTCTAGTATGCAGAATATATAAAGAACATGTATAACTGAATAATAAAAAAGACAAATAATCCAATTAAAATGGGTAAAGAACTTGAATAGAAACTTCTCCAAAGAAGATAAACAAGTGGCTAATAATCACATGAAAAGATACTCAACATCAGGGAAATTCAAACCAAAACTGCAATAAAATACTACTTTGTACCCACTAGGGTGGCTATAATAAAAAAGAAGGAAGGAAGGAAGGAAGGAAGGAAGAGAGAGAGAGAGAAAGAAAGAAAGAAAAAGAAAGAGAAAAAGAAAGAAAGAAAGAAAAGATGTAACAACAAGTGTGGGTGGAGATGTGGAGAAATAGGAACCCTCATACATTGTTGGCAGTAATGTAAAAGGGCACAGTCACTGTGGCAAATTGTCTAGCGGTTTCTCAAGTTAAACATGCAATTACCATATGATTATTAATTTCACTCCTAGGTATCTGCTCAAAAGAAATAGAAACATGTGTCCACATAAAAACTTGAACATGAGGGGCACCTGGGTGGCTCAGTCGGTTGAGCACCTGACTCTTGATTTCAGCTCAGGTGATGATCTCAGGGTCATGAGATTGAGTCCCAAATTGGGCTCCATGCTCAGTGGCAAGTCTGCTTAGGATTTTCTCTCTCCTTCTTCCTCTGCCCCTCCCCCACTCTCTCTCCCTCTAAAATAATCTTTAAAAAAAACCTCGAACATGAGTGTTCATAGTAGTATTATTTATAATAGCTGAAATAACACATGTCCATCAACTGATAAATGAATAAACAAAGTGTGATATACCCATGCAATGGAATATCATGTATTAGTAAAAAAGAATGAAGTACTAATGCATGCTACAATGTGGATAAACCTTGAAAACATTCTGCTAAGTGAAAGAAGCCAGACACAAAGTACAACTATTGTATAATCCCATTTATGTTAAATGCTCAGAGCAAGCAAATCCATAGAGACAGGGAATAGATCAATGGTTGCCTAGGGCTAAGGGGGTTGGGGTAAAATATGGGATGATTGTTAATGGGTACAGGATTTCTTTTGGAGATGATAAAAGTTTTCTAAAACTATGGTGATGGTTGCACACCTCTGAATATACTAACAAACCATTGAATTGTATGCCTTAAGTGATAAATCATATGTATGTGAATTATAGCTCAATAAAGTTGTCACTGAAAAACAAAAGACAAGGCTATATTTCCAAACTCTGACCCTAAGCAAGTTATGCTAACCTCTAGGCCTCATCTCTTGGTGTGTTGAATGGGGATAATACTACACCTGCCCAAATCAGAATAAGGGATTGTCCTTTTAAAATTTCTCCCAATCAGGGCACCTGGGTGGCTCAGATGGTTAAGCATCTGCCTTTGGCTCAGGTCATGATCCCAGGGTCCTGGGATCAAGCCCCACATTGGGCTCCCTGCTTGGCAGGGAGCCTGCTTCTCCCTCTCTTTCTACTGCTCCCCCGGCTTGTGCTCTCTCACTCTCTCTGTCAAATAAATAAATAAAATCTAAATAAATAAATAAAATTTCTCCCAATCATGGCCAGCATGGTTGGCTATAATCTCTATCACTACTTCCATACCAAGGACAGCATAAAGTTATCCCTGCTAGGCTGGAAGGCCAGGTCATGCTGAGGGCCCACCATGGAGTCTTAGAAGTAAAAGTAACCTTAGTCGTCACCTAGGCTTACCATCCATTGGTAGAATCCCTTCTTCTGCCCAAATTCTCCAGCAACAGGAAATCCACAAATGCACAGGGAGTCTGCTCCCTCTTGGACAATCCTAACTAGGCTGATATCTGCCTCTTTATAGCCTCAGACACAGTCCTTAAGCTACCCAATAGAAGAGGTCTCACTGTTGACCCACTTTACCATTTTTCATATATTCAAAGATAATTCATGTCCTCTTGAACTCTCTCTTCTCCACACTAAAGATCCCTCCGTTTCTTACAATACTCTTTATAATTGGGCTTGGGGGCCCAAATATACAGAACTTGACATATTACCTCTATTAAACTTGAGCTTATCAGATTTGAGTCAACATTCCTGCCTGTCGAGATCTTTTTGGTACATGATTCTATCATTCCTCTAGGTTTTGTATCTGCAAATAATTTTATAGTTTTGTTTTCATCTACAGCCTTGCAAGAAGGAAAATAAAGGCTGCCAGCTTCAATTATTTTGTCATTTGTTGGGAGGTTTTTTTTTTAAGATTTTATTTATTTATTAGAGAGACAGAGCAGAAGCAGTGGGAGGGGCAGGCAGGGGGAGAGAGAAGTAGGCCCCCTGTTGAGCAGGGAGCCTACCTAATGCAGGACTCGATCCCAGGACCCTGGGATCATGACCTGAGCCGAAGGCAGATGCTTAACTGACTGAGCCACCCAGGTGCCCCTGTTGGGAATTTTTTAATGGTTCCTCCTGAGCTTGTACCACATAAACCACAGGAGTTACAAAGATCCTCTAGTCCAATTCCCTCACTTTTCAGTTGACAAAACAAAGGTCCACTTCAAGGAGTTAGTAGGTAGGGCTTCGAGCCCTAGTTCTGCCATTTGTTCAGGGTTACTTTAGTTAATTGTAAAGCTGGGATAAAGCTCTCCCCTCTGTACTACATTCTTATCAAACTCTCCTATTCACTCAATAAATATTTGTTGAATGTAATTTTACGGTGGCTCTGGCAAGAAATAATGGTATATCAGTGTAGGGTGATAGAGGTAAAAATAGAAAGAGATAGATGAATATAAGAGATATTTAGGAGGCAAAATGGACAGAATTTAGTGACAGATTGGTGGGGCAACATTTACCAACCAAGTGGAAGAGGCTGAATCTTCAAATGAGACAAAAAGGAGCAGCCTAAAGGATGGAGATAAAACAGACAAATAGGAGAGTATAGTATAATGGAATCCAAGAGAAGAGATAACGGAAGAAAGATGAGTGATCAATAATGCTGAATGCTACTGAGGGGTCAAGTAAGATAAGGAATGGAAAATATCTATTTAATCTAGCACAGGGAGTCACTGGAAAATTCAGTGTTTATAGAAGCCAGATTCTAGCTGAAGATGAGGGAATGGTAATGGTACATGTAAACATAGCATTTTGTTGTCTTTCATGTTGTGCATTTTCCTGTCATGTACAGTTCACTCTAGCACAGTGTTCAGAACTACAGTCTCACCCACAATCTGCCCTTCTAAAGAAACAACGTAAACAGGGGCACCTGGATGGTTCTGGGTGGAGCATGCGACTCTTGATCTTGGGGTTGTGAGTTCAAGCCCTACATTGGGTATAGAGATTACTTAAAAAAAAATTTTTTTTAGGGGAACCTGGGTGGCTCAGTCAGTTGATTTCTTAGTTCTGTCTCAGGTCATGATCTCAGGGTCCTGGGATCGAGCCCCGAGTCAGGCTCCATTCTCAGCAGGGAGTCTGCTTCAAGATTCTCTCCCTCTCCCTATGCCCCTCCCCCCACTCACTCATGCTCTCTCTCTCTCTCTAAAATAAATATGTAGGGACTCCTGGGTGGCTCAGTCAGTTAAGCGTCTGCCTTCAGCTCAGGTCATGATCCCAGGGTCCTGGGATTGAGTCCCACTTCAGGGGTCCTTGTTCAGCAGGGAGCCTGCTTCTCCCTCTGCCTGCCATTCCCCCTGCTTGTGCTCTCTCTCTCTTTCTCTGACAAATAAATAAATAAAATCTTTTTTTAAAATAAATAAAAATAAAATAAGTAAATCATTACAAAAATGTTTTAAATCTTAAAAAAAGAGAAAGAGAAATAACATAAACACCCCCACATAGTTCAGTGTAATCCAAACCAGAACTCTAAAAGAACCAGCCATGTGACTCTTCTAATTGCAACCTTAATTAATAAGCAGCCCAGTTCAGTGGCATAGTTAACAATTACCCCCATTTTTATAGAATTTGAATGCAAATGGTTTGCCCAAGGTCACACATCCAGTTTGTGGTTTAAAAAAAAAAAAATTCTTCAATTCCAGCCTTGAGCACAGTTAAGCAAGCTAGACACTGAGCTGCTGTGTGGCCTTGGAAAAAAATCATTTTCCTTCTGTATGTCTCAGTTTCCCTAACTATAAAATGAAGAGATTTAACTAGATAGTCTCTAGGTTTCCTCTCAGTAATAAAACTTTATAAGTTTATTATAAATTTTCCTGATCAATACCTTTGAATTTTTAGTCTCCTGAGACCCCCTAACCTAATGAGGTTTGCATCCCTTGATCCAGAATTAGATTTTTCTTCGACATGAAACATGAACAGTAGCCCTACAGGTCCAACCCAAAACTAACTATTCTGGACGCCAAGTACTCAATCACCTAGGATAACACATTCTCTGTAGTGAGAAGCCCCGTTATGGCCCATCCATCTACTGCCTCAAACTTCCTCATTCAATAGCTAAAACTGTTCTGCCCTTCCTCCTTGGAATATCAATTCATTCTCAAGAAAAAACTCCACTTAGTTTAAGCTTTCATGTTAATGTCTGTTGGAGAGCTCCAAAAGATCTTCTAGATGAGCATGGAAAAGTTGTGTTTTTCACTAGCACCTTTTCAGATCACCTCTTTTCCACACCTGACTGATGAACACATGCTAGGTCTCATAGAGCTCAACCAAGTCATATGTCTCCTTTCCACTGAACGAAGACATCTTCAAAAACTGAGGACACCCAGAGGGAAGCCTTCCCTACTGGGCAGGATGCAGGCTCAGAAATGGCTTTTCCCCAGAAGGCCACAGAAATCTACATAAAGTGGAAGCCAAATCAGCCTCCAAAAAAAGACTTTGCCAGCAAGATGACTCTCACCATTGGGCATGAGCTCCACCACCAAGGTCGGGTAAGCGATGTTGGTACAGCCAACCTCAGTACCGCAATATTTCTTACATTCCGAGGGGACAGTGCAGGCAATTTTTTCTGAGGAAAGATGAAGAGCCATGTCAGCAAGCAGACATCGGGGAAATATTTCCAAGATTCACTTTCCTTTTTTTATTTATTTAAATTCAATTAGCCAACATATATCATTAGTTTTTGATGTAGTGTTCAATGATTCATTAATTGTGTGTAACACCCAGTGTTCATCAGATCACGTGCCCTCCCCAGTGACCATTACCCAGACCCCATCCCCCCACCCCCTCCCTTCCACAACCCTCAGTTTGTTTCCCGGAGTCTGGAGTCTCTCATGGTTTGTCTCCCTCTCTGATTTCTTCCCATTCAGGTGTCCCTCCCTTCCCCTATGGTCCTCTGCCCTATTCCCAAATTCCACATATGAGTGAAACCATATGATAATTGTATTTTTCTGATTAACTAATTTCAATTGCACCAAAAACTGTAAGATACCTAGGAATAAACCTAACCAAAGAGGTCAAGGATCTGTACTCTAGAAACTACAGAACCTTATGAAAGAAATTGCGGAAGACACAGTGAGATGGAAAAACATTCCATGCTCCTGGATTGGAAGAATAAACATTGTTAAAATGTCTATGTTGCCCAGAGCAATCTACACATTCAATGCAATCCCTATCAAAATACCATTGACATTTTTCACAGAGCTGAAACAAACAATCCTAAAATTTGTATGGAACAAGATTCACTTTCTTAAAATAAGGCTTCAAACAGGACATCCCTGCCCAAGGCCCTGAATTGGTTCCACAGAGAGTGGAGCCCCAAGCTGAGCCCTTCCATGCCATGCCCCTGCCCTGCTGGTATGACCATCTCCAAGATCTGACTGGGGAGAAAAGGGTTCTTAGGCAGAGGAGTGGGGGAAGCAAAGCAATGCTCAGGGTGGGAAAAGAAGGGGCACAGTCTTTAGACTTTAGCTAGGCCTCCCTACAGCTTAGCACTGACTACTGTCTTGCTTCTCCTGAAGATCATAGTGACTTGTGGCTCCTAATTTTGAGGTTTATTTGAAGCAGCTTTTTTGCAAGTAGGATTAAACACCCAGATGACTGAGGGAACTCCCCAGTGGGAGGGCTATTGGGTAGTACTTCCAAAATGTGAAAAATCTGGTATAGAGAAAGATAAGAAGTAGCCTGGGAGGGGAAGGGGAAATGATCTAGAGACTTGGAGAAAATTCCAGTAACTTCTTTAGAATTAAATCAACAAACATTTATTAGGTACCTACTACAGATATATCATTTAGTGCTGCTCCCTAGAGCGCTGATTCATTATAGCACTATCTCAAATACTTTTATGTGTGTTATACCCATTACAATATAAATTATTCAGTTAGGAATATTTTTCTCATGACAGGTGAGCCAGTATAGGAGTGTAAAAGACCTAATAGGAATGCTATTAATAGCCAATGGCAGCAAGTGCCCCCAGACTGTCTTGTCTTCATTTTAGGAGCTCACCAAAGTTTCACTCCCTGGTGCTCTCTTTTTTGCCATTATTTCATATTCCAGGAAACAGTTTTGACCTATGATGGCTGACCAAAAAAAAATGCAATGCTGGAGAAGCCAAAAAAGGGTCAAAAAGACTTTATTACCCTAGATAGCAAAGTACAAGGCTCAGGGCTCTTCAAAGAAATGGCCCAAAAAACAGGGCTCTGAGCATCAAGCAACTAGAGACTGGCCAGGGTCCTTTGACATTAAAGACATTTTACACACTGAGGAAGGAAGACTGAGCAAAAAGCTAGCAAATATTAGCTGGAAGAAGCTACAGCTGGAAGTGAATCATGACTTCAGAGAATTTGCAAAAGGGGAGAAAGTAATTGTCATTGTAAGGAACCAGGGAAGACAACCCCACAGGTTCTGTGAACTCAAGTTGTTTGCTATGTAAAGGGGGAACAATAATGCTTGGTAATTGTGGCAAGAAAAAAAGAAGAGGAAGAGCAGGGAGCTATAGGGCTTTAGAAGTGACACAGAGCCAGAAAAGTGGGAGAAAGTGGCTGCTGAGTCCAGCAAAAGGGATCACCTGTGTACAAGATGCGGCTGATCATTCCTGGCATCACCATGAGGAACATGGGCAGCAGCTTCATGTACCCACACAGGATACAGCCGGCCTTCACATGAGACATGTTTTTGGCTGAGAGGCAGCGTTGCACAATGACCTGCCAGGGAAAGCCAGTAAGAGAGGGGTGCGGGCCAGAGACTTCTCAACGCCCTCTGGCTACCCTCAGCTCCCCTCCCACATGTTCTTGGTTCTTGGCCTGCCACCCCCTTGTCACTAAGGCTCAGTGACCCCAGACCATATGAGCCTAGCCCTACCGTACCTAACACCACAAGCCATAGACAGACAGGGTCCCTGTAGAGACATGGGGAATACCCCATCCACCCCACACATCAAGCACGGGTACCTGATCTGTGCACCAGTACCACAGGGCAAGGATGGACAACCCAAAGATGATCCCAGGCCATGGCAGGTCTCCTTTGAGGGGATCTCGGAAGATGTGAAAAGAGTCAGCTCTTGGTGTATAGCAGTCTTTGTTGACGGTGATGTTTCCATCAGTAATCACAGTTGGAATGGCGTCCATGTACTTTCTCATCAAGGAATCATACCCTCCCACTTCATGGAAAGCTGGAAAGCATCAGCAACAAACATCCTAAAACTCTCAACTCTTCATTCGGGTTTCTTCCTGTAGATGCCTGAGAAACCACCCTCACTGTGTGGTCTTGGGAAAGTCACTTTCCTATTCTGGGCCTCAGCTCTCTCATCCATAGAATGGGATTATTAACCCTGCCTAGCCTCCTGGGGGTGGGAGGGCTCCTGTGAGGGTCTAAACCAATAACCTGTGAAAGTATTTTAACCATAAACCTTTTTAAAAAGGGAAAGTACTTGGACTTATTAAAAGAAAGACCTTGGTTTTGAAGATTCAAAGACGTTTTCCCCTCACCCTTTGCTGTCAGCAGCAGCCTTTAAAATCCTACACAGAGACCTAGAGACCCACAGACTCAGCCATACCATCCCTGGTCACAACAATGTGGTAGGATGGACAGAGAAAGGGCAAGGAGTCTGGAGCCCTATCACCTCTTTGCTGTGTGTCCTACAGACCCCACCACCACTACCACCACCACTAGGGAAAAACAAATGGAAGCTCTTGGAAACAGAATAGAGAGTAGGTAAGAGGCTTCACAGGACACACAGAAAGTATGGGCCCTCTTAAAAAACAAAATGCATTTTATATTCTCCCATAACAAGTACCTCTGGATCTAGGGTCTCCAGTCTTGTCTTTAGGATTTTACAGACAAATAAAATTTCAAAATCGGGGTCAGGGGCCAACATAGACAGGCTAGTTTTTAAAATTTTGTCAAATAAGGACATAAACAAGAAAATGATCACTTACTATCATCAATTCATAAAATAAAGGACATTTAACATCAAATATAGACAAGATGTAATCTGAGGTTTAAGATACAACATTGAATATACTTAGCCTGATGGATATTTAGATGTATCCCTTTTTTTGTCCAGTTTCTCTGTGGAGAGCAGGCCCAGCCTGAGATCTCCAGGGCTGAGGAAGGTGCCCCTGCACACCCACTGTGGTGGTCAATTCAGGCTAGACCACTCCCCTGGGGAGGGCAGAGGATATCCAGCTCACTGCCTGGGCCAGCAGCAGGCAGGGAGGTTAGACTTGATTTTTTTCTCCCTAGGCCTCTTCCTCTGCCTCCCTGCCTCCTCAGCCTGCCCCAGCCCCACTTACCAAACCCAGTTAGGATAAAAGACCCCACCAGCATGATCGCCGTCTGCAAAGTGTCGGTGTAAATCACAGCCGCCAGGCCCCCTAAACAGGCAAAGGAAATAATACATGTGACCTAACGTAGGAGGACCACCTGTCTGTGTGGTACAGCCTGCCTCCTTTGCCCACTCCCTGCCCCTCTCCCTCTCCCTCTGTGCATCCTCTGAGAACACCCCTCAGTCACCTATCTGCCTTTCCTTCCTTCCCTCCCTTGTCTTGTTATAACAATCTACTACCCAACATGTTCCCACACCTCTACTTCTCACAGAAATGCTGGGAAGACCTTGGAAAAAGGAGAATGTTCCTCCCTATTTGAGAAGGAAGAGTTTGATGTGACTGAAGGCAGAAGATGGTGCAAAGGAGATGGCTGTGGTAAGAACTGTCTCCCACAAACAAAGGCAAGGAAGAGCAAAGAGTTAACATCTCTACAAGGTGTTTGGGTGTTACCGAATCTGCACATTTCGAAGGGCTACTTCCATGCACATCTGCTCTCTCTTTACTCAGACCATCTAAGTAACTTCTTGTCCCCAGAGCTGTGTAACTTCTTGTCTCCAAATTCCATTGGCTCCCCTACCGGGAACAGAGTAACACCTCTGCAAAAGTGTCCCCAACTGTTCCTTTCATCAGCTTCTCCAGTCACCTCTCGAGTCTTCCTCTAAAATCTCTTTTTTGTGTCACTCCCTGCCTTCCCACCTACAGTGCCTTCCAGCGCCTATCACATCAAATCCAAGGCCTCCTTCTGGCTTCCAAGCCCCCTGCACTGTGACCTCTTTTGAACTATCAGGGCTTATCACTCCACACACACCTCAACTACCTCCCACTGACCACCCTTCTCCAGCCAAACGCATCTGCTTGCTCACCCTGCCCCAGTCCCATGCCATGCCCAATCCTGACTCCATTCCCTTGCTCTCTTCATCCCTGCACCTGGCACTCCCTCTCTGATTTTCCCAACTCAGCCAACTTCTATCCACAACCTGGAAGGCCAGTCCCTGCCCCACTTCCTAGAAGAAGCTACATGAACTATTTCGGCCAACACTGGAGTTTTCTGGGACTCCCATATAACTTGTTAGGGTCTGAGCTTTGGGACTAAGCAAACACTCCATTCTAAAACTGTTTCCTGGGTGTATCTCTCCTCCTCGAGAGGAGAAGCTATGTCTCCTACTTCCTCCTCCTTTCCTGGGCTTTGGCTGAGTCATTTGTATGGACTCACCTGTGATTGTGTAAAGGCCAGTGATTGCCAATAAGAGAAAGATGGCCAGGTACAGATCCAGACCCAGGGCCAAGTTGATAAATATGGCCCCAGAGAAGATGTCTGCCTGGAAGAAGAGAAGAGGCAGAGTTAGGGGTGAATGAGGCCAGCTGACTGCAGGCTGCACCCAGGGCCTGGCTGAGGCACTTCAGCTGCAGAGACAAGGAGGCAAACTTGGAGAGGGTAGCAGAAGGTGTCTCCTGAGTAATGTCAATACCTGTGATTTCTGGGCCCAATGTTGGCCCACACCCCCCTTGCCCTTTGGCTAAAATCCCCCAGTTAAAGGTTCATATTTTATCCCTGAGTAAGAATATGAAAGACTAGTACTGCACAATTCCACATATATGAAGTATCTAAAACACTCAAATTTGTATAACCAAAGACTAGAATGGTGATTACCAGGGGCTGAGGGGAGAAGGAAATGGGGAGTTATTAATCAACAGGCATAAAGTTTCAGTTAAGTAAGATGAGTAAGCTCTAGAGATCTGCCACACAACATTGTGCCTATAGTCAACAATAATGTATTTTACACTTAAAATCTGTCAAAATTTTGATAGATGGCATGTTAAGTGTTCTTACCACAACAAAATAAAATAAAAACACAAACACCTCAGAGTCATGCTCTATTCCTAAGTTTCTCAACAAGCTTTATTCAAGATGATAATAGATATCCCATGGGGGGAGAAAAGGATTCCCTAGTCAGAGATCTGTGAAATGCTGGATTAAGTGAAGTTAAGACAGTTTCCTCACCACACAACTTCCCTGAGCCTTTAATATACAGTATGTACTGTGAATCCCCAGGAAGGGAACATGGTAAATGACCCTTCACAAACTTATTTAACTATAGAACTTTGTTTGCCAAGGAATAACCATTAACACCTTGAGGTTCTTCCCAACCCACCTGTAGACTGCTGATCTAAGCTATTCTCTATCATTTACACCTCAGTGTGCAAAGGTTTATCAGATCTATTCCCAAAAGCAAGTACTAAAGAGTCCATGAGAGGGAAACCCCACCCATACTCTGGAGTGGAGAGAAACTTCAGCAACATCATAGTTTTATCTTCTCAGCCCAGATGGAGTCCACCTTGACTCAAACACAACCAGAACATCACCAATTATCTTTTGCATGGCAAGCTTGTTTCTAGGTGGCTTTATCTAGATTATTTCATGAAACTTTAGGGAGAAGTGTTCCCTCTTCACTCCCAAATTCACCAGTTATGTTCTTGATGCAATTCTCTTTCTCCTCCCTGCCTCATTTAGCCCCATTAAAAAACAAAAAAAAACAAAAAACCTTCTACCTGGCAGGATGGTGCAGTGGCTAATTTAAACCAAACAGAGAGTACCAGAGTCACCTAAAATGAATTTTCATGGCAGTTCCAAAATACTACCAGGATGGGTAGTATTAAGGGATGATCATGGTAAATCTTTTATTTTCAAATTGCTAGGTGTGAAAGAAACTAGACCCCCCCCCAGGTGCAATGCACGAGCTGTTTCATTGCATAAAACCTAATATATTTCAGGGCGTGTAACAGGCCACCTAGTCATAACCCGGGGAATGGTGCCCTTGCATCTCCTCTCCAATCTTAGCTTCCCCACCTCCACCTCCTTACAGCTCCTTGGGGCCCTCCAGTGGCTCAGCTCCCCAACAGTCAAATCTCCTATTCCCTGCCTCTATTAGTTGGCAGAGAGATTGTCTCACACCAGCTCCAAGCTTATGTGCTAATGCACAACTCCCTCTCCCAAGATGGGTCTCCTAAGGATTGCTGCCTTAGCTCCCCTGCAGATTCTCTAGCCCCAGGGTACTTAATATCATTGTCTTTCCTGGTGGAGGAGGAGACGCAGAGTCAGAAGGTAAGGAGAGAGTGGTGACTTAGAAAGAGACCACCCAAGGGCTAGCGGTCAGAGGACCTGGGTTTTAACACCAGTGCTGCGATTATAGGCCTGAGTGACCTTGGATAAAACATTTCACCTCTCCATGTCTCTGTGTTCTCATCTTTAAAGTAAGAAGCTCTAATTCTGAGTGCTTATGATTCTCAGGGGCTGGAAGTGGGAAAGTCCTGCAGCCAAAGAAAACATTCCCCTCCCAGGTCCTGGGCCTGTTCCATCCTATCCTCTAAAGCCAAAGAAGAAGAAAGAGCCCCCAGCTGCACTTCAGCCTTGCTAAGGGTGAAATGGCCACTCCTTCCTGACTGCACACTGAGCCATTGGAATTGTGATGAGTATTCTGAGTATTCCTAATGCTGGACCCTCTGCTCCCATGCCTCTTTATCATCACATAGTTATTTCAGTTGAAGGGGCCCCTTTATTGATTACACTTCTAACCTCAGGCGTAAATTCTGCCCTTACAACTCTGAAAGCCAGCAGAAGTGCCTCAGAATACTGTGCCATACCTAAGCTCACATTAGCCCAGGTGCTCTGACATTAGTCTTTGAATCCTAGGTGCCCAAACTTTATCTGCTTCACTAGGGTTTTTTTTTCCCACCATATCCAGGGAATTTTATAGTTTACCAAATGTTTTCAGGTACATTCATTGTTTTGATCCCCAAAATAAGGTAAAAGGATAAATATATTGTCTCTACTCTACAGATGAGAAAGACAAAATTAATGACAAGCTCAAGAGCTAAAATCCAGTTCTTTGTCTCCAAGTCCAGTGACTTTCCAACAACACTAAAAGGTAAGAGTTCTCTTTTCTGGAATATTTTGTGCAGAGAGCAAGATCTTTTATCATTTAAAAAAACATTTTTTACTTACTTTTAAAATAAAATAACTTATGGGTATAGTTGAAAAAAAGCAGCACAGAAAGTTACACATGGAAAAGTAAAAGTGTTCCTACTTCCATCACTCAGACCAAAGGTGACCACTGTTGAGAGCTTTTGGTCCACCGGAGGATTTCTAAATGTCTTGCTGAAAATTATGTCAACCATTAAGTTCCACATCCCCCCAAAATAATAATTATGAAGATGGAAACATGGGAAAATGTATACAGTTTGATGCTAAGATGGGGAAGAAAGATGACAAAATGGTATGCACATACTGATTGCAATTCTGTAAAAGAAAACACACATACGGGCAAAGACACAATATGAAATATCTGAATTAGAGTCATAGGATTATGGGTGCTTTTCCACTTTAGATTTTCTTAAATACCATTGTTCCGTTTTTCTTATAAGTTTCAAAAGTGGGGGGAGCAGAAATTTTAAAACACATTATATTCTCTATAGGTATATAAATATACATATATATGTAGTAAAAATATAAAAACAGACCAAAAGAAAACATACCAAGTTTAAGACATGTATAACTTTTAAGAACGGGGTCAAGAAAGGTAGAAATAGGGGTGCCTGGGTGGTTCAGTCAGTTAAGCACCTGCCTTCAGCTCATCATGATCCCAGGGTCCTGGGATTGAGCCCTGGTTTGGGCTCCCTGCTCAGCAAGAAGTCTGCTTCTCCCTCTCCCTCTGCCCCTCCCCTCTGCTTGTGCGCTCTCTCTCTCTCTCTCAAATAAATAAATAAAATCTTTAAAAAAAAAAGGGTAGAAATAAGCTTTCCATCATATCTGTAATGTTTTATTTCTTTTCTTTAAAAAATGAGATTTTTTAAGATCTATAGAATCAGGGTGGTGATATTTGCTATATTAGTTTTTGTACTTTTCTGTATGTTTGAAGCATTTTGTTATTTTTTTATTTATAAAAGTAGGGGAATGAATAGGGAACTACACCACCAGCATTGATAGAAAAGAACTCTCCTATAATCCAATGAGACCATTTGTTTCACAGCTCTTCCCAGATTGCTCCTTCTCTAAACTTCTCTTAGCCCTTAATAAAAAAAAAAAAAAGGAAGGAAACAAGCAAATTTACCCAATCATGCTAAGCAAAACCAACTTGAAATGAAATCAAAAATTATCATATTCTAGATCAAGGGTCAGCAAACTTTTTCTATAAAGTTTCAGGTAATAAATGTTTTAGGTTTTATACACCATATAGTCTGTCCAACCTGCTCAATTCTACAGTTGAAACATGAAAGCAGCCATAGACAATACATCAAGTGGGTGTGGCCATGTTCAAATAAAACTATATCTACAGGAGCGCCTGGGTGGCTCGGTCAGTTAAGCATCTGCCTTTGGCTCAGGTCATGATCCCAGGGTCCTGGGATAGAGCCCCATGTAGGGCTCCCTGCTCAGTGGGGAGTCTGCTTCTCCTCCCTCTGCCTCTCTCTGCCACTTGTGCACTCACTCTCTCTGTCTCTCTCTCAAATAAATAAAATGTTTTTAAAAAAAAAAACCATATCTACAAAAACAGGCAGTTGGATTCAGCTCAAAAGCTTTGTTCCCATCACTTTGAAAATTTGACTGAACAACGTCCATGAGACTCATGGGGAATAATAAAATTACAGATTCAGCTGGGAAACCTCTTAGAGTAACTGAGTCTCTGACCATGAGACTTGCATAGATTTCTTGTCTCAGCTCTGACACTTTGAGATCCTATGATTTTATATGTGTGCTTTGTGGCCCATTCTGGTCTGAGTTATATCTGAGCACCCAATAAATCCTGCCTGGCAACGACATTTGAGATGGAGAGCCCCATTGCTCAAATTTCTCTTTTCATTTGTGAAAGTGAATGGCTCAGGTAATGAGTATTCAGACCTTAAGTAAAAGCCAAAGCTCTTATTTTTACTCAAGGATCCAAAATGGACAGTGGAGTTGCTATAAAAGTTTACTGCAGTCATGTTAATAGCCCCAGGAAATAGAAACAGGGACATTCGGTCATCACATGTAATTCATAAAATCTGAGGCTTATCTCAAGTCACTGTGCACACTTAAATAAGATACATGATACTGGGAAATTTTACAGACCAGAATTCTTCTCAGAACTTGATAAGACAGGGTGCCAGGAACGGGACAGCAGGGAGCCAGTAAAATTCAGAGAAGTACATAGAGGAATAATCAAATCTGGGTCTCAGAGCCCAAAACCTGGCCACAAGATGGTAGCTATAGTCAAGATTCCACACCACTGCTGTTCTATGGCCTGGGTTATATCTGGGCCCTGCACCGAAATGCTTTTTCTCTGCTATCAATTACACACACACTGGATCCCTATAGCCTCCTCTAAGCCTTCCTGGCAGGTCCCTAGTTGTTTCCTGTGTGGACTTGGATCTCACAAGGCCACCCTTCTTCTCTTCTTGCCCATCACAAATTATCCATGCCTTTACATACACACAACAAGATTGATTAATTTTTGTGTGCAATGTAAATAAATACCTATTTTACTTTGTTAATTTATAATTATTTTCTTTTCTCAATGAACTTTGAACTCATGTGTTATCTTAATGTGAGTTCCTAGGAGTTACATTCACCATCAGTGTAATTATTTTAATGATTTCATGCTCTATGACTCATGGTGAACCTGAAGTCAGCCAAACTTATAAAGACAAAGTCTTACGTGTCAACCCTTCCCTGCCCCTGCCCTCTGCTTAAATGTCCCTCCTTCAGATCCTTCATACACCAGTGTGCAGTTGATGCTCTCTCCTCACAGTCCTCTCAAATCCTACTCATGGAAACTTGTTCATATTGTAAGGTTATTTAACTGGCTATCTTATTTTTTCCCATGGTCTTGAATTTTAACTGACTCTGTACCAAAGGAATGAAAGATTTAGAAGTCAGGGGCCACATAATGCCAAAGGTTTTGAGTCAATAACAGGGACCATGCTGTTCATCCTAGTTCTGCTACTGTTTAACCCCACAGAGTCCCTTCCCTTCCTGGGACCTCAGTTTCTCCAGCTATAAAATGAGAGCGTAGGGCGCCTGGGTGGCTCAGTTGGTTAGGCGACTGCCTTCGGCTCAGGTCATGATCCTGGAGTCCCGGGATTGAGTCCCGAATCGGGCTCCCTGCTCGGCAGGGAGTCTGCTTCTCCCTCTGACCCTCCTCCCTCTCATGCTCCCTGTATCTCATTCTCTCTGTCTCAAATAAATAAATAAAATCTTTAAAAAAAAATGAGAGCGTAGAATATAGGACTAGATGATCTATCCCATTCCATCATGCTATGTCTTCATCCCATCCAAACATAGAGCAGAACTGTGAGAAGAACACAGACTTTGGTACTAGAGAGTTGGGTTCCAACTGGGTTCCAATGCCTGATTTTGTTGTGTGATTTAGGACAAATTACCTAATTTCTTTGAGACTCAGTTATTTCATCCATGAAGTGGAAAATAAAATAGAAATCCTTACCATGCAGTACTCATGTGAACTGGAGATGAAAAAAGTAAAGCCCCTTCTGGAATCTAAGCAAAGAGACTGGCATTAAATAAAAGGCAGCTATCATCCTTCTTACACAATATTCAAGAGATTTCTGCCTCTGGGAAGCAGGTAGGGCAGGTAGGATGGTGGGCAAGGCCTCCAGCAAGGAACCCAGAAATTATACAGAGAGGGAGCAGCCTATACCAAGTACTTTTCAAAAGCAAAATTCAGAAAAAGCTGACTGCTGGGGGATGGGCTCCATCAGGACTTGAGCTGAGCGAGACTGCCCCTCAGCTATCTGGGGGCTCCCAGGTCAAGGGAGGTTTAATCAGTAACCTGAACAATAGGTGATGTGAGTGCAAGGCAGGAAGAGAGGTTGGGCATTTAGTTTATTTATATGACTACCTCACACTAGCTCCAAGGGCAAAGAGTACCCTTTCCATGGCAACTACAGTCAACAGACTTATACCCGCTTGAACTGTGGACTTGGAGAAGGTTTGATTCCAAAAAGGGAAATCCCAGTAGCCTCCTCTACATGCTTATTAGACAGGTGCCACCTCACAAGCTGAACCAAGGAGCAGTTCCCTTGCCAACCCCCACCTAGCTCCAGAATGACCTCCTCTCCCTCCCTGCTTACATTCCTTTTTCTCTTCTTACATCTGCTCTTCTCTCCCTCAGGAAGCCTGATTTCTCCACCCTTACCAGCATTTCCCAGTCTAGTCTCTGCACATTGATATCTAATGCCATAGCATTGAAAAGCCCAGGGTCTTCATCTTATAACTAAAAACTAACCCTGAAGGAGGGGAGGAGAAAGTGAAGGTGGTGAAATCATCATATTGGTGGCAAAACACAAAAGCACCAGTCAAGGACAGTAGCAGTTTGAGTCGGGAAGCTGGGCAGGGAGGGAGCAGTGCTCTGGGAATCAGTCCCAACTCCAAAACAAAGTTCTATCAGCCCTATAGGCAAGAGCGTGTTTACATTGAGTTGTATAAAAATGTGCAAGACCATTCAATGAGTAAACAATAGTCTCTTCAACAAATGGTGCTGAAAGAACTGGATAAACACATGTAAAAGAGTGAAGTTGAACCCCTGCCTCACATCATATACAAAAATTAACTCGAAATGGATCAAAGAACTAAATGTAAGAGCTAAAAGTATAAAACTCTTCAGAGAAAATATAGGGGTCAATCTTCATGATCTTGGATTTGGCAATGGATTCCTAGAAATGACAGCAAAAGCATAAGCAACAGAAATAAAAGTAGATAAATGGACTTCATCAAGATTTAAAACTTTTGTGCCTCAAAGGACATTATCAAGAAAATGAAAAAGAAAACCTACAGAATGAGGGGGAAATATTTGCAAATCCTTTATCTGATAAGGGTCTAGTACCCAGAACATACAAAGAATTCTTTCAACTTAACAACAAAAAAAGACAAACCCAATTAAAAAAAAAAAGCAAAGTATGCACAGGTAGGCCAGGACTAGGGCTGGGAGGTAATGGTACAAAAGAGAAAAATAATTATGGTAAGCTGAAGATATAGATATTTCCTTTAAAGAAAGTATAGTCAAATACAATGTGTAGACTTCATTTAGATTCTGATTCAAAGAAATCAACTATAAGGAGACATTTTTTTATATAATCAGGAAAATCTGGATATGGACCAGGTATTAAACCACCTAAATTAGGAAATTCCTATAGATTTTGCTGTGTGATAATAGCACAATGGTTATGTTTTTTAAAAGTTGAAGATGTATTCTGAAGAAGTCACAGCGAAATGACATAATGTCTGGTATTTGACTTAAAATACTGCTGGGAAAAAAAGTAGAAGAAATAGATGAACAAGAATGACAAAATGATAATCATTATTAAAGCTGAGTGAAAAATATTAGGTCCACAAGTGTTCATTATACTATTCTATCTCTGGGTATACATGTTTGAAATTTTCCAAAATAAAAAAAATGCAAATGTTATTTAATATTGTTGTTGTCTTGGCTTTAAGTGATCAGTAAAATAAAAGCACTAGCAGCTGGTTTTTCAGCACACTACCTAGCTAGAGCAGAAGGCTCATTTCAGATCCAACCTGACTCAAATTTTATCCAGGACAGATCTTTTGCAAGATGCTGAGATTGATCCAATCTTACCTTTGGTGCTGGATAGAGAAGGACAAGAAAACAGAGGAAAACTGATCATACTCAATGAGAAAACTGATAGAGCAGTGAGCACTTTGTAACTCCCTATGTCTCAGAAAATGTCACTTTTCTCTCAACCCTTGGATTTGGCAATGGATTCTTAGAAATGACACAAAAAAGCATGAGCAACATCAGAAAAAAAAAAAACAGATTAAAAAATAATAACAGACAAGAAGCCTTGTGCAATGAAAATGACATTGAAGTGGAGCCAGAAGTTTGGGTTCTACTCCTGATTCAGGATCCTGAGCAAGTATTTTCAATTCCCAGTTTTCATTTCCCTATCCATAAAAGAAAAGGGAGAATTTCTGAGGTCCCTTCAAGAGTTGTCACTGACTGCCCATGTTTAAGTGTATTAGAAACATCACCTGGAGCCAGATTCTGATCCCTTCAGGCACAAAGGCTCACAGCTAACTCTAAGGTTGGAACCGGCCCTTAGATATTGCTAATTCCCTTTCAGTCTTCTATTAAGAACAGTTTTCACTGAAACTCCTCGAACCTGTTTATGTTTTTAACCTTCCACATGGTAGAGGGTAAGGAGTTCCATGTGTTGACTCCTTGATGCATGAAATAGGACTTTACCCTAAGGAGCAAGAAAACCTAAGGTACCAAGTTAATAGAAACAAATACTGCTGCCCCTTGGTGGGCCAATATGTGCTGAGGAGCAGGAGTGGGCAGGTAGACATTGGTCAGTAGACAGCTAATGCCAGTCCCCAGGGCAGTGGACTCACCGAGATCTTGGTTAAAATGTAGAGTAACAGGGACAGAATAGAGAGGTAGATCTGGATCCGCTTGCCTCCAAATCGTTTCCTCAGGTACTCTGGCATTGTCACCACCTGCATGGGATGTAAGAGAGGTCACTGCCAGCCAAAGTGACCAGAAGACTCAGAGCAAGCAGAGCAGTGGCATCCACCATGGCATCAGAAGTATGATCAAAGGTTAACTGTCATGAGTCAGAGAAGTCTTTAAGGTAGCCAGATGGCCCCCATTCTTCAATCCCATCTCAATCCCATATGCCCTACTACTGCAAGTTTAGGGCATTATCCCAGGACATTGAAGGTGCTCAATAGACACTTTTTTTAAATGAACACATGAATACATAACCAAGAAAGCAGATTTTTGCCCTGAAAGAGGAGGTGATAGATATGCATTCCTATACAGAGTGCCTACTGTGAACAAGACATTATACCAATGATAGCATCCGTTCAGTGCACCAAATTGGCCAGGCTGGGTGTGTGCTTCACCTTGCCAAGGATTGTAGCTGCAGACCTGTTCTCCCAGGTACTTTCTGCAAATTCTGACTGTACTTCTGTCTCATTTTCTCAACCCTGAGCCTACTGTCTTCTGGGATCACACATGTCACCAATAGTCCATGAGCCTCCAGAAGATGTAGAGACTGCCCTGTGTTTTTTCTGTATTGCTTTCAGCTCCTAATGTAGGTATTCATTATATCTCACTAAACAGGTGCCACCAAAGCTGTCTTATGTAAAATGTCAGAGAGATTTAGTCAAGAGACTGAGCATGCATTCGATAGTTGAGTACCAGCTGCAAGAACTACTGACATTTGTAAATGAAGGGGAAATACAGTTCTTTTTCTCATGCTGCTTCCCTTCCAGGAGCAGAGGCACACAGCTATATACCATGAAAATGCATGGCAGTGCCTTTCAAGTGCACACCCAATGTGAGGGGACATGATGCTTAAGAGGGCTCTGAATAGAATGAGGTTGTTTAGAGGGCTTCTTAGACAGTCAAGTCATGGCTGAGTGGATCTGTTGAATGCCTCTAAAAGTAGTCAAAATTTTATAACCTGGAAAAGAAAACCAAGGCACAGGTGTTCTCTGCCATTTATGCTATAAAATCTCCTCTGCCCTTCAGGAGGATAGAGCTCATATTATATATGTGTGTGTATTATATATATATATATATACACAACTTCTTTATCCATTCATCAGTTGATGGACATTTGGGCTGCTTCCATAATTTGTCTATTGTTTATTATATATATGTGTCTATATATAGTGTATATATATATGTGTATATATATAGCACAAAATAGAATAACAGAGCAAATACTTACCCCAGCCTTAATGTAAATGGGAACAAAAACCCAGCCCAAGGCAACCACCCAAATCAGGGCCTGAAACAAACAAAAAAAATAGGTAGAGTCAAACCAGGAGGAACCTTAGCCCATTCTGCTGCCTGCCCTCAAATACTACAGGAAAATCACCAAGCATTTTCTCTTGGGGCTCTGGGGACAACTCCCTAAGTGGCCATCAGAAACTCAAAGAGGGCTTTGCTGCCTGATTGGCCCACAGGAATGGTAGTTGGGCAATAGTGTAGGGGACCCCAGGGGGCTGCCCGCTGACATCATAGCTCCTTTTGCCTCTTCTCTGGTTTACAAGGAGTAAAATAACTTAGAGAACTTTTAAATAATAATAATAATGATAATGGAAATCTGGTGGTAAGAATTTCCAAACCTCCAATATGGTCAAAAGGGTACAGAAGGATTTGGATTTTTAAGAGAAGGAAAAAACACTATTGCCATCAGATCAGTGGTTTTCTCATGCTACTCTGTGGAAGGGGAGCAGGACCATGGAACTCCTGAAGCTGTGCCCCTCCTCCAACTGCCTCAGAGAGTGGCCCTGGTTGGTTCCCTAACACTTAGAACATCTCTAAGCATAGATTGAACTGGCTGACTGCTAAACCTCCTTCCAGCTCCAGGACACAGTGTCTCTGATGTTACTCACATTCCATTCAAAGCCTCCAATGGCAATGCCTGCAGCAGCTCCTGTCCCCGCCAGCCCCACAAAGTGGCCACTTCCAATGTTACTGGCAAAGAGAGATGCTCCAATCTGGAAACACAAAGAGAAAGTCTGGTAAGGACTCTATGTTCCACCAGGACACTCAGAGGTAGACCAAACAGGGAAGAGGCATGTCACCCACAAGAGGGACAAGAAAGAGCAGAGGCAGCCTGGGAACTTGACTGAATGTCTGTAGGGATCACTGATTCACAAGGTGGATATGGAGTCTTACATAATAGTGAAGATGAAAAGGAGAAGACTGGGGAAGAGGCAGTGTGTATCCCCAAAGCAGATCATCTTTGGGTCCTTTCTCAGCCCAATGGCCAATAACAAAGAAGACATGGGAAACTCCACAGCCCACCAAGCCTTCCTTATAAGTCTTCCAAAAGGCTGTCCGCTCAGAAGCAGGCCCTGTGCCATTCATCTCTGTGTCCTCCAACACTCCTGACAAAGGACTGGCTCTCAGTAAATGTTGACCAATACTGGCTCCCAGTAAATGTGGACAGTTTTGATAAAAGGAATCATTTAAAGGAAGTCTCTGGGCCTTAGTCCTCTCACTTATCAGAGAAGGCAGGGGTTAGAGTCTATAATTTACAGATGATTCCTAGCTATTAAATTCTATGATCCCCACTGGATGTTATATAAGACTGATGAACTGACCTCTGCCTCTGAAACCAATAATACATTATATGTTAGTTGAATTTAAATAAAAAATTTTTAAAAATCCCCCAAGTAACATGAGATGCTACTAATAATAACTCTCTAAATCAATATAGTATTTTTATTTTTTATTTTTTACAAAGGTTTACTAGACTCCATGGACACATACACTGCATTTTTCAAGGATATACATATATCTAAATACATAGGTTAGAAGACAGATTGGAAGGATATATATTTAAAACCCAAGATTGGAAGCCTGGAAGGAAAAAGGAGAATGAGACTGTGAATGGGAGATGAAGGAGAAAACATCAAGTAAAACAAGAGAGGGATCTTGCACTAACCAATCATGAGATACTGTGCCATCAACTCAACTGTATCTGAAGTCCAAGAGAACTCTAGAAATTTCTAGAGTCCTTCTGTACCCAGGAGGAGAAGCATAGCACCATTTGATAAGTACCAAACTAGTATAATTATCCCCACTCTTGCTGAGCAATGGGGGAAGCCTGGTAGTTACTTGTCTAATATCCCTAAGATGGAACAAATCTGGAACAAAACACAGAACGCTATTTCCCAAAAGACAGATTACTCCAAGAAACTGTCCTAACTATATCAGCCCCTATCCCCAATATAAGGCAATGGATGCTTAGTACCAAATAGTTAAGTAAGAGAAGGAGTTCCCTGAAGGCCAGGCCAGAAGGTGTCTGGAATGATAAGATAATGGTATAAAATTGCATTCATTAATTCACTCAATGAATATTAATTTAGTATCGACTCAATGTATCAAGCACTCTTCTAGACCCTGGAGATTCCACTGTGAATAGCACAGACAAAATCCCTACTCTTCAGAAGCTTATATTCTTTTTTTTTTTTTTTAAGATTTTATTTATTTATTTGAGAGAGAGAGAATGAGAGAGAACACATGAGAGGGGATAGGGTCAGAGGACGAAGCAGACTCCCTGCCGAGCAGGGAGCCCGATGCGGGACTCGATCCAGGGACTCCAGGATCATGACCTGAGCCGAAGGCAGTCGCTTAACCAACTGAGCCGCCCAGGCGCCCCAGAAGCTTATATTCTAAGCATGGAGGACATTAGGAGAAGGAAGGGAAAAATTGGGGGGGAGGGGAATTGGAGGGAGAGATGAACCATGAGAGACTATGGACTCTGAGAAACAAACAGGGTTTTAGAGGGGAGAGGGGAGGGGGGATTGGTTAGCCTGGTGATGGGTATTAAGGAGGGCACGTACTGCATGGAGCACTGGGTGTTATACGAAAACAATGGATCGTGGATCACCACATCAAAAACCAATGATGTATTGTATGGTGACTAACATAACATAATAAAATTAAAAAAAAAAAAAAGGGTCTGCCTTCAGCTCAGGTCATGATCTCAGGGTCCTGGGATCAAGTCCTGCATCGGGCTCTGTGCTCAGCAGGGAGTCTGCTTCTCCCTCTGTGCCCCACCCCCACTCGTGCTCTCTTTCTCTCAAATAAAAATAAAAACTTAAAAAAAAAAAAAGCTTATATTCTAAAAGAGGAAACATAAATAAATTTTTTAAAAAGAAAGATCAGAGGGGCGCCTGGGTGGCTCAGTTGGTTGAGCGACTGCCTTCGGCTCAGGTCATGATCCTGGAGTCCCTGGATCGAGTCCCGCATCGGGCTCCCTGCTCGGCAGGGAGCCTGCTTCTCCCTCTGACCCTCCCCCCTCTCATGTGCTCTCTTTCTCTCATTCTCTCTGTCTCAAATAAATAAAATTTAAAAAAAAAAAAAAAAGAAAGATCAGAGAATGACGAGTAGAGAGGATGTGATAGAATAACTAGTTTCAACTGGAGTCAGGAGATCCCTCTGTGTGGATGACCTCTAAGTTAAGATTGAAGTGATAAAAGAAGTCCACTATGTCAAAATCAGAAAGAAAGTAGTCATAGTTGAGAAGCAAAAAGGCCAGAGTGGCTGGAGTGTGGTAGGCAAGGAGGAGGGTGTTGTGAGATGAGGCTGGGAAGCTGGGCAGGCATACATCATATAGGTCCTAGCAGGCAAGGATAGGAAGTTTGGATTTTATTCTAAGTGTGGGAAGCCACTGGAGGGGTTTTTTTTTTTTTGGTGGGTGGGGAGGCAGAGGGAGAGAGAGAATCTTAAGCAGGCTCCACGCCCAGCACATGAGCCCGACACAGGGTTCAATCTCACAACCCTGATATCATGACCTAAGCCAAAATCAAGAGTCAGATGTTCAACCAGCTGAGCCACCCCGGCACCCCACCACTACAGTGTTTAGTCAGGGGAGGGACAGGACTTAATTTGCTTTTAAAGATTGTTCTCAAGCACATGGCGAATGTAGTGCTTGGGGCAAGGGGGAAAACAGAGAAACTGTATAGGAAGTTAATGCTGTATCTACATTAGAGGACAGTGGCTTGGTCTCTGGTAGTAACAGTCAAGACAAAGGCAACTGTAGAGATTGAAGAGTATTTTAGAAATAAAGTTGACAGGAGTCCTAAATCTAGGAATTACCCTTGATGGATCAGATGTGGGAAATAAGGGAGAGAGTAATCAAAAGTAACTCCTAGATTCAGGACTTGAGTAGGTGGGTGCCATTTATTAAGAGGAAAATGGATCCATAGATGAGTGGATAAAGAAGATATGGTAAATATATACAATGGAATATTACTCAGCCATAAAAAAAGAATGAAAACTTGTCATTTGCAACAACTTGAATGGACCTAAGAGTATTATGCTAAGTGAAATAAATCACAGAAGAGAAAGACAAATATCATATGATGTCATTCACATGTGGAATTTAAGAAAAAACAAAACAAACAGAAAAAAGAGACAAAAAAATCACTCTTAAATAGAGAGAACAAATTGTTGATTGCCAGAAGGGAGGTTTCAGGGGATGGGTGAAATAGATAAAAAGGATTAAGTGTACACTTATCTTGATGAGCACTGAGAGTTGTATAGAATTGTTGAATCATTATATTGTATACCTAAAATTAATATAACGCTGTATTTAATTATACTTGAAATTTAAAAAAGAAGAAGGGGAAATTGGGAGGAAAGGAGGCTGTTCAGAGACATTCACCTCTTTCTCCTCAAAACTTGGTGGGGCTAACAGTCCACTTTTAGTCTGAATTCCCTTCTGCATGCAGTCTGCCTGTCCTGGCCTATTACCTTTGCATTTATCATCTCTCACTTGATAAATTATTAAGCCTAATGTTGTACTATTAAGGGCATAATTACCAGTAATGATTAACTACCTTAGATTAACCTTAAGTTCAAGAAGTCTTCTCCAACATCCCCCGCAAAGGGAAGCACTGGACTTTAAGCAGTTGCAGGCTTTCCTGAGGTACTCCCTCATCATCTGATGGAATGGGGATCAGGAGAGCTTTGGGGTTACCACATGTCCTGCCCAGATTCAGTTAATTTCTGTCATGATCACTACTATTCTACCAGTCACTTGCCCTGGCCTCATTCTGGACTTCCTCCCTTCATCCCATGGCCTTAACTCAATCATTTACCAAAACCCTGACTCTGCCTTCACAATGTTAAAGGCATCTAGCACTTCTTATACTGCCCTTGTATAGGCTGTAATTATCTCTCAGCAGGCTTCTGGATGATCTCCAGTCTCCCCCTACCCACATGGCCAGTTCCACAAAGCACAACTCTGATCAAGCCATATTCAAAGACCCTCCACAACCCCCAAATGGGCCTGCCAAGCAGTCTTCCTGGAAGTTCCAGGTTTAAAGATGTAGTCCTCGGGGTGCCTGGTAGGTTAAGCATTTGCCTTTGGCTCAGGTCATAATCCCTGGGTCCTGGGATTGAGCCCTGCGTCTGGCTCCCTGCTCAGTGGTGAGCCTGCTTCTCTCCCCGCCCCCCACTCATGTTCTCTCTCTTTCTCACTATCTCTCTCTCTCTTAAATAAATAAATAAAATCTTTTAAAAATCTACCAAAAAAAAAAAAAAAGATGTAGTCCTAGGAATTCAACAAGATTTCAAGTTAAAATCCCCTCCAGTGAGAAGTATGAAATTAAAAAATTAGAGTTTGAATACTTTCTTGACCTCTTACTATCTGGGTGATCATAATATCTGTGAGCTTCAATTTCTCTCATGACAGGGTTATTCAGGAGTCAAATGAGATTATGAATCAGTAATGACTGACATTTAGCCAGCCCTCAATCAGAGTCCTTACTCTCCTCCAAGAGGACAAAGACAATTCACAAGACCTACGATGGACAATGTTATAGACTGAATTGTGTTCCCCAAAAATTTATGTGTTGTAGTCCTAACCTTCTAATGTGACTTTATTTGGAGATAGGGTAATTAAGGTTAAATTAAGTCATAAGGGTGGGGCCCTAATCTGATAGGACTGGTTCTTATAAAAAGAGGAAGAGACACCATCTCT